TTATTAAGGGTTACCTTTTACTGTGCACCTCAGGCTGGAGCTGTGTAAAACAGGTCAGCAGTGCTGGCTAATGCAGCTCACTCCCCTTCCACGAGTGAGGGGAATCATAACTCCTCTGAAGGCTCTGGATCTTAAAATTTATCTTCTGCTCCCTCAGCCTGGGCAATTGCACTACTCTGCATTATTAGTCATTCTTAAAGCCAAAATTACTCTGCAGGTCCCTCTCATTTTCAGTTAATATTGTCCTGTTTCTTGGTGTGGAGTGTGGGACTGCAGTGGCAGCCCCTGGGCTGCAGAAGTGTCTCTCCTGAGGAGCAGGAGAAGTGCTGTGCTGTTTAACAAGTTGCCTGTGTTCTTTTTCCTCTAGGAATGATTGCCATCAGCAGGATGGCAGTGCTGTATCCCCAAGTTATAGTTGACCATCCCTTTTTCTTTTTGGTCAGAAACAGAAGAACAGGTAAGAATATTGCAGACTCTTGAATTTTTCACAGCACACCATCAAGTATTCAAAAGAAAATTGCATGTTTTGATCAATGAACTGGGCTTGTGTTATGAATTTTCATTAATTATTATGACATTTCCTTAATTAATAATTTTCCTTTTAAAAACCTAATATTGAAAGGCTCATCTTTTCTATGCCCCCTGAATGTTTCTCCAAGTAAGACATCGAAATCTGACAAAAAAAACATTCAAAGTGATGTGATTAAAAACCCCAGGGAAGAAAAATTCACCATTTTTGTTGTGAGAACACAGAGTTACTGCCCTGAACATCAGTAATCACTGCATCCCCTCAGAGCTTGGCTGTAGCAAGACCAGTGAAATACGTTCCCAGCACCAAATGATTTGCATAATGGACAGATATTACAGCCATGAATAATTCTGTTGTGTTCTCCAAGTGCTCTGTGGCAGGTGAGGGATGAGAACAACCCTCACCAACTAAATGGGCAGTGATTAAGTAATTCCTCAGTTTCGTATTTGTAATTTGTCTTAATGATGTGGCTGTGACTGGATGTAAAACCTTCCTGTGCACTCACAGACTGTCACGTGGGTCTGTGTTTGTGATCCCCACCACAGGTAACAATGTTTATTTAGGTTTGTTTGTTTATTTAGATTGCAATAATGCTTCCAGTCCAGCTGGGCAGAGTCCTTGTGTGACTTTTCTCTTGTACAAAATTCAAAATACAGCACTGGACCAGATACTAAGAAGAAAATTACCTTCATCCCAACTGAAACGAGGCCAGCAAGGCAGGATACCAACTCTTAAGGGTTTTTTTGACCGAACTAAATTGAGTATCCTTGCTGTTGTAGACACATTAGGCAAAAAATGTATCTGGAGGAGGAGATCTGTCCTTTTTCCCTACTCAATATGCAAAAATCTCCCCAAAAAGAGAACTGCAAATCAGAACAGAGCAGAACCCGGTTACTTTGGGATAGTTCTTAACACTGCTGTTGCATGTAGAAAGAGGAATGGCCAACAACTGTAGTTAAAGCCTCAAAGCTTGTTGTTAATCTGGAAATCTAAGGTTAAAAACTTCTTGGAAGAAAGGTCTGTGATAGTGACCCTTCTCAAGGCAACCCCAAGTGCTCAGGGTTGGTTACTGTGTTCAGAGGGGCTGTTGAGCCATTGCCTTTCATGGCCACCAAGTTCTCTGCTGTATCTTCCTCTGAAAATCAGGCACCACGTGCTCTCGAGCTTATTATTGGTGTTCATTATCTCAAAGCCTCCCATTTAATTTTGGTTCTGACATCTCTCCATCCCCTCCTCCCTTCCCGCTCTCCCCACAGGTACCGTGCTATTCATGGGAAGGGTAATGCACCCCGAAGCAATGAACACAAGTGGCCATGACTTTGAAAAGCTTTAACTGCCACCAGCCACCAAAAAGAGGAGATAAGCACATAAAGTTTGAAGTTAATATATTTAAGGTTTGCTGTGTTTCCCCCCCAAGATATTGTTTCAAACGCTTTCGGATCTAACTGCGTGCAAGTCAGTTCCCAGAGGGAAGCTTACAGTGTTAAAGTAATGGTTCTGTTTCTGTTGTTGTGATTGCTGTGTCCTTAAAATAAAGTTGTGTACATGTCAACAACTGTTTCTTGTTCTAGTGGATTGTAAAGCAGAAAACTGCAAACCCATTATTTGTAATTTTTTTTTACGGTCCAAAGACTGACTTGATCAATGAGACAGGAGCAGAATGTGCAGCTCTGAATAATGCAAATGGCAAACCTTGGTGGTGATTTCTAAGAGCTCCATGTGGACAATGTGCTCTCATCCTGTTCCTGTCAGAGCAGTGAACAGCCTGTGCTCTGCTGGCTGATCGGGGGGGGGGAATGGAACAAAAGAAGCTGAGTGGATTTTATTCTCTGACTGTGGTAGACTTTGTGTGAACTCTCCCCCGTGATTCTCAAATGTTGCTTTTCTGGATGCTCCTGCATGTGACTGCCACTGACCCTCCCTAAGTGTTGATGACAATAAAAGTTGATGGCATGAATATTTGAGCCCTGTCAGTGCAGAACAGCTCTGTGTGTGACTGAAGTAAAATACTTGAGTAGTAAAGTCATTTGTGTGCACATATTTTTCTCCCCCAGAGTAGTTGTTCTACTTCAACCTGAGCTTTTCACTCTCTCACTTCAGGGATCTAGAATGTTCTATCTCAAAAAAAAAAAAAAAAAAAAAACAAGACTGAAACACCTTAATTTTAAGTGTCTAAAAATTCATAAATAAATGCCTAAAGGAAAACCACAATCCTTTTCATTTCTTTTTCTTGAGAATAAACTGACAGAGAGGAGAATGACACGTAGCACAAGTAATGTTAGCAGGAGAGTTAGTTGGTGTTTCCATTTGGAAGATGAGAAGTACCCACTGTCAACAGAGAGCCATGTAATTACTTCCTCCCTCGTTGTACAAAAAGAACAGGAGTTGTTAAAAAGGTAAGACAGAACAGGGGAAAAGGAGGGAGAAGCTCCTCTGAAACACATCATCAGCACAAACCTTTGGATAAGAAGTGGGCTTCTTCTCAGTCAACAGGAGTTTTGTCTTTGGAATTCTATGGGAACAAATGCATGTTCTTGAACTTCAGTCATGGGCTTCTCTGGCATTCATTCACTTCAGAGCAGCACAGATACTGCTCACAAAGTTATTCATGCGAGGAGGACTTCCAAAATCTGACACATTGTTCAGTCTTTTCTCCTGCTGGTGCAGATCTGGGATGTGATGGATATTCTCTGTGGAGGCTGGTTATGCTCCCCTGGAGAAAGGGCACTTGGACACATTTCTGGCCTCGCCTTCTTGAATTGTTTCAAAAATGGGGCTCCTTAGTGTGTTGCTGTTGCTTGTTACCCTTATATATTATAGTCTAAGCTTGGTGGGAAAGTTTTGCATTTAAATTTAGACAAAAATTGCGATTTTAGTTCTGGATAGCTGAAAACCTTCTTCTTGGGAGGGCAAAAAGGGAGTGCTGCTCACCATGAGCAGGGGCTAAATTCACCAAGACACGGAACTAGTGTCCCTGCAGGTAAAATGAGCTTTGATGGGGGTTATACAGGGGCTCATTCTTCATATTTAAATAGTTCTATGAACATCCCCTCGTGTCTGTAAAAGTGACCCACGTGCTGAAGATCTCTTGTGGGTTTAATCTCATGGGAACCTGATTTTTAAGCCATGACCTTTTTTTCAGGCTAATTTTTGTGGTGCTCATCTGATTTTGGAAAAGACACAAGAAAGCCAATGTTTTTTTTTTTTTTTTGAGTCCCTCAGAAGTTCTTCCTGACCACTTTTGCCTTTTCTTTGCACCAGTTCCTGGTAACAATAGAGGCTTCCTACGGAGGGAAGGACTGGAGAGAGATTTGAACTGAAGCTATGGAATTTTGGAAGGACAGCTGGCAGGCAGGAGTGTTTACAGAGGATATCAGGCGAGTGCACAGCCTTCCCCAGCAGTTGGATTGAGCAGGGGTACAGCTGGAATGATGTGGAATTAAACATTCCAGATCTAATTCTGAGAACTGCCTGAGTGGGCACATAGGAAAACCAGCAGGAACAGAAATGCAAACACTGGTGATTTCACTTGCAGCTCTCCTGGTCCTTACAGATGCAAAACAGCCCTTTTATGTTTCTAGAAAATTGAGAATTATGTGATTTTCAACAACATGATTTATTTCCAACTTATGCAAATATGTCAGTTGTAGACCACAATGAGAACAGCTCTCAAACAATACTGCTTTTCAGTGGGAATAATATCCTAAGTGTTGCTACCAATTTATTGAGGTACATGAATACTACTCCATTATGGGTTTTACTCTAGATTTTGTATAATGTTCCTTTCAAAGACACTTTTGCTTTTTCAATACAAAACCAGCAAAATAATTTTGTCTTTTTTGTTTGGATCTCTTTTTTGGTAAGGGAAATTTGTCAGCAGTAGCTCATGTGTGAGTTCAGCTGTGTAGTCTTAAAAAAAAATGAAGAATTGTATTTTGTGTTGGAGACTAAATCAGAAAATAAATCACTGTAACTTTTCTAATTGTGCTGTGTAAGTGACCCGTGGTGTAGCATTGATTACTGAGATCCTTCTGTGCTGCAGCTGCAGTTGAAGCATGAGAAGAATAATTCCTTGCCCACCTGGAGTCCAGGTGGGAATGCCTTCCAGAGCTGCAGTTGGAAAGAGTATTTTCCCTAAGAATCCTTTTAGTAGTGGGGCTACTGCTGGAGATTGACTTATTTAACTAATATATCTAACTAATAATGTATTTAACTAATAAGATCCCACTCGTAAATGATTTTGAGCACCAGTTTTTTGTAGATTCTACATTTAAACAAGAATTTGTGTTTACGAATTAGAATGTTTTTGTTGCTGTTCCAAGCACTAATTTTCACTCTCTTTCCACAAGCCTTGGTGGTGGCAAAGTAAACTGTTGTTTCAGTGTCTGAAAATCAAGAACATGATATTCCTCAAACAAAGAACATGTTGGAGTTTATACCAAAAACAAACAAAACCAAACTTAGGCAAAGCTTTTTTGGCTAATTTTTATTTGTCAATGGTGGACAAAAGAAGAAACCACAAGATGTCACTCTATCCTAAGGAGCTAAGAAGGACTTTCCTATTGACAGTAATCCTGTGGGAGTGCTGGAAAGCTGAGCATCCTGAGTGGGACTTAAGTGGATGTAGATGTTGTACAATCAATGAGTTTGGGTCATAGATAGACCCAGGTTCTGGGGTTAATATTTGGGGACGGGGGGAACAAACCCCAATACTTGGTGTTGCAAACTTTGCTCTGAATCTTTGATGATGGATTGCTGGATGAAGTTCATCGTTCCCAGGAGAATTCTTATCCAATTTTTGGCCTGCAGGATGCATTGTGTGCTGGGGGTGTGGGGGGATAACAGAAATAGGTTGTTCTCCCAGCCTGTCTCCATGAACAGCCCCAGAGCCGTGCTGGGGTTACTTTGGAGTCAGTGCTGCAACAGGACATATGATTTCTTTTCTACAAGAGAGAAATAACTGCGGTTGAAGTCAGTGATATACTGCTCCTATTATTCTGTTGTTCTCTTTTGTTGTGGCTCTTAAATTCCCCCCCTCCCTTGCTGCCTCACACCGTGTCACTGGAATTTCTGCAGGAGCAGATTCCCTGGCAGGTGTTCTCTCTCCCTGAGCCAGAGGCAAATAATGTTCCTACAAGGGTTTTCTTAAAGTGGCAACAAGGCCTTCTCCAAAAGTGTTTACAAGCTCGTTCTTGGGTTGTTTCTGTCCCTTGAATTGGGCAATCTTTGCTTTTGTCCCTGCAGTGGAAAATGGAAACACATGAATTAGAAAGAGATGGATGAGTTACCCCCAAACCCCAGTGCCAGGGAGGAGGAAAACAGTACCTTGGTAACTCAGATAACACCAGCAAGAACTGAGTTGACTTCCCTTGTGAGCTGATCTGCATCTACTGGCACACCTGATGAGAAACTGTAGATTAATTTAGTTTGTAAAACTGTCTGTGGTCTCCAAGGGGTTTGGATCAAGCTGCCGCAGTCACAGGGGTCCAGACAGGAGGGAGACTCCAGCTGCTCACTGGGACCTCTGTTCACCGTTCACCGGGTTCTTTGGCTTCCAGCTGGCACTGGATGAGGGCTGGAAAACAAAGTTACACATGAGGAACCATTCTCAGTGCACACAGTTGGTACTTTGCAACTCATTAACACGATGTATCTGTCACCCCCCTTGTCCAGGACTCTCACATGACATTCTTTTTACAAAACACTGCCTTACAACCACGTCCACGGGAATATTTTTCATTTTACAGCACTAGTTAGAAACCCATCATGGACCAGTTGCTCTAGGCAGTAGGCAAACTGAATGAAAAGACAGACAAAAGTAATGTACTCAAAATGCAGTCGAAATTGCAGTTTATAGACAATAGCACGGTGCAATAGTCAAGGCTGTGAGGTAATGAAGGATTTCAGGCTTATTCCCTCACTCTGGCAGGTAGGTAATGGAGAAAGGTTGGAAAGATAAATATATTATCCAAGACACAGATAATGCTTGTAAAATTCTAGGTCTACCAGGACCTGGTTGAGGAAAGAATTGAAATTGTTCCTGCAGCTCAGGAATTTAACCCACTGCCTGAGTTTTTATCTTTTCAGCCACACTGACTCACAACAGGAATGACGATTTGGATATGACCCATCTTCTACTGATTACAGGTTGGTTTACTACCTTTCTCTCATAAACACACATCTTCCCTATGGAAGAGTGATCTTTTGGACAAACTGGTGGAAAATTCCTACAGAAAAACAGTTCTGTGTTTGTGTAGAAGTGCTTTTAAGGAAGGGAGGAAAAACATACAGAGGAAATCTGGATTGTGTCTAAGTCACATCTTTAGTGTCCTTGTTAAGGGTTTGGAATTGCCCTTGGAAAAAGATGAGCTTCAGCCATTCTTTCAAGTATTCTACTACCAAAAGAGTTTAGACCCAGTCATAGTTTAATATTTTTGCTCTATTTACAGGTATTTGTTAAGAGCTGTGTTTTAAACCCAAGCTGGAATCCTTGCAGGTGGTAACTGTGATAGCAGTGCCTGAGCAGAGTGAATAAAATATGTCAGAACGTGATAAGAAATAAAAGATATCAAGAAATCCATCTTGCCCTGAAACCTGTAAGGATCATGGTCTGGACAATGTCAAATCTCACTGGTCACCAACAGTATGACACAAAAGGCCTGTTTATTTGAGGCTTTTGTCATTGTCAGAAGACTTGGTAAATGTGAGTTTCTCCAGTTTGTGAGTTCACATCAGTTTTTTGATGAGAAGTTATTTGTGAATCATCCCAATATTTCAGAACTAGTCTTCCTGCTGCAGTTTCCTGGGGTGCAAGCTGAACAGGGTAACCTTCAGTGATTTTAATTCATGTATTTTCCAGTGTCATTCCAAGTTCAGTGTATATACACATATGGAACAAAGTGTTCTGAGGAGGTGACCTCTTAATTACTGAGCTTTTGAATCATAATGTGTGGGACAGAGAGCTTGGAATCATGAGTAAAACAGCCTTGGATCAAGCCCTTACGAAAGCTGAGGATGCTGCCAGCTCTTCCTCTTCACTGATGATACATCAAGATAGGCAGAGCAGAAATTAGGGGGTGTCTAATTCCATAACCTTAAATGTTTAAATCAAGCAAACAATCATGCAGTGTCCAAAACACCCATAGCAAAGAGCATCACCAGAAGAAGCTAAATTTAGTCAGAGTCACCTGGAGCCTGTTCCAAATCCCTTTGCAGTCCACCATAAAAGGATTGCCATTAGTTGCAACCAGTTTTGGACCACTCGAGGTTTCTCTCAGGCTATGCCCTGAAGCCTGAGTTCAAAGAACTGGGTGGGAACTGACATGCCTGTGATTTTGTGGGATTAGTAAGAACTCAATTTTTGCCCCATTTGCAAAAATTACTTGAGGCCACTTACCTGAAAATATGAAATGGGTTTCTAATCCCAGTGTTTCTACAAAAAAAAAAAAAAAAAAAAAAAAAAAAAAAAAAAAAAAAAAAAAAAAAAAAAAAAAAAAAAAAAAAAAAGGTGAAGACTATAAGCATGCAAGATGGAGAATTTGTAAAGTTGTATTTGGTGTGTGTGCACAGACACTCATTAAATGTGGATATACTACAAGAATCACAAATCCTGCTATTATTTTACTCTTATAAGTAAGCAAAACCTAACCTATTGCTGCATGAAACCATAGGATAATGCAGTACAAAATAATGAAGCCATTCTATGCCTCTTGGTTTAGAGACTTTTCTTTAGCGCAGGATGCCTGCAAGGGAATAAAAAAGTTCTTTGCCCCCTCCCTTTCTCAGTCACCAGCCTGGCTAAGCTCCTCTCTCTCAGTCCCTGGAGTTAAATGATGAATTCCAGCCTCTTGAAACCGATGGCAGCAAATTCCTCTGCCTCCAACCATTGCACAGGTTTATTCACAAAGTTAATAGAAGGAGACAGATGAAGGCAGAGAACCTCAGGGAAATCAAAGATATCAGTGTTTAACACGAGGGGCAGTGGCAAAGCTCACCAGGAGGGCCCTGAAGAGGAGCCACGACCCCCACATGAGGAGCTGGCAGAACTCATTCCTGATCTGCTGCCTCTGTATCACTTGGCACATATTTTGCAGATAGAACAACTCTCTAGTAGATTTATTGGCAGTGCACTAAGAAGTATCTTCAAGAGAAGTTAATTCAGGCTCTCTTAGCCTTGAGAACACCTGCTGAAAATATACTCCCTCCCATGGACGACGAGAGCACAGAGATTATGTTATGATAGTTCCATGACAAGTGACTCCCAAAAAGCAACAGAGAAGGCTGTTTTTCAGAAGGGCCATTAACCAGCTGGCAGCCCATTTTGCACCCTTCATGGTAAGCATGATAATCTGAGCAGCATTCAGGAAAAAGGCAGATTGAAGTCTCTGCTGTTTCTCCAGGAAATGCATCCTGATGACTCCACAGAGAAAAGGGTCTCAAGTGGGAGAGGTGTTTTACATTTCCATCTCCTTCAGTGCTCCAAAACCCTGCTTATTTTTTGGAGAGTTTCTGTACAAAGCCTTTTTTTTTTTTTTAATAAAGCTTGGGGATTATTAATTTTGCAGGTGTGTTCACACTGAGCACACACACCTGAAGACAATCTAATAAACAAAGGGGTCTCTGTGCCAGTGTTGTGCTTTTGTGTGTCGTGGCAATAATGCTGCTGGTGCCTTCAGCTGCTCTAACACTACCTGAACCTGCTCAGACATGGCAGTTAAGGCTCGTTTTTCCCCAACACAGTTGGTAGAGAAGTATAAAATCAGTATTTATTCCTGTTCTAAATCTCAGAACACACACCAGACTCAGGACTGGGCTCTGCTCCACACATTGAGCTGTATCCCAAGCGACTCATTGCACAGAAAACAGCACTGCTGGAGTGGAAAGGACAACCCTCCTGGTGAGTGACCAGCAGGGACAGTTGGTCTGGTGCCCCGGTGACAGGGTTGGGAGAATCCCACTGGTTTGGCACCGGGCTGAGCTCCTGCCCTTTTATATCTCGTGATGTCTCTCTAAGGCTGAGTTGGAACAATAGGATGCTGTAAATTGCTGACCATGAAACAAGATTGAGGCTGATGTGCAGCAACCTGCTTTGTCCCAAACCCCAGGCCAAATCCCTGACTGGCCTTGTTGGGCCCAAGTGCCAATGGATTTATGCAGTAGGAAAATCCAGTGAACAATCACAGCATTTAAAAACAAGCCAACAGATCTGAAGCATTTGGGAGCAGCAGCTGATGTTCCCTCAGAGATATAGCACATGATTTCTATAATCATAGAAATACATTTAATTTTGTTTATTTAAACCAGCTCGTGTTTTGCTGTGAGCATTAATCATCTGGTGTCACACAATGGAATACTAAATGTCACACACTGAGTCACATCTCCAGCGACACTGTGAGCAACATTCTGGCTGTACTCCACAGCTGGAGAAAGAACTGCTTCATGCCTTGCTGGCTGTAGAGCAAACACACACTTGCAGCTTCATTTTGTATTCAGCAGCTCTCCAAAACAGCAAAGGCAGCATGCAAAATGAGGAGGAACACCACTGAAGCTCAGCTGCTCATCTCTCACAACTCAACTGCAAAAAATATGAGGTTTGAAAGAAGACATTAAAGAACAGGTATCAGCAGAAATATTCTGCCTCAATCAAGGGAGTTACACCTTGTTGCTTTTCAGTAAGTTTTGTTTGCCTGAAGAAGCAACATCAGCACGTTTGCTGCTGAAAACAGGGCTTTCTTCTTCTCCCAGTGCAAGGTAGGGAGAAAAGAAAATTCTCATTTCCCAGCTGCTGAAATACAGCATGGAGCTGGCAGCAAAGGGGAGCAGCTGAAAGATGGCATAGTTAATGTTTTTATTCAGGGGCCTGACAGGTCTGTGACTGGAGAATACAGTGGCATAAAGCAGTTTAACAGCACCTTTATAGCCCCTGTAGGCCAGCACTGGACTTAGAGCCTCTTTGAAGCCCAAAGATCAGGATGGATCTCAATAGTACAGGTTTCACTCTTTTTTTTTTTTTTTTTCCTGAAAGAAAAGCTGCTGCTTCTGTCACCTCCTCTCTGTTAAAGCAAAAGTGTGAGGTGGGGAATGACCCTCTGAGAAATCCATCTTTGTCTCTCAGAGGGGATTTTGGATGAAAACAGCTAAAGCAGAGCGAGGCATCGGGTGAAGTGATTCCATTTGCAGCCAGTGGATCACCTTCCCTGGGCCCTGATTGAAAGGGATCCCGTGGCAGGAAGGACTAATACACATGGATGGAGCACTGCCCACACCAGGAATTACAAACACAGGCTCTGAGAAGTCCCACCAGCACCTTTGGAGTCCTGCAGTGCCAGAACTTGGGTGGAAAGACATTGTTGTGGAGAGTAAGGGGAAGGCAAATAATCCACTGGAAGATACTTTGAGGTCTTCTTGTGTTTTGAATATATGTGAGTCCGGAATCCTTCCTCTACTGAGGTCAGGAGACCTGATTTAAAATAGATATTTGTAACTGGGCCTTGTGAATACAAAATACCTGTTGCTCAGAAATCCCCACTTGGTGAGGCTGAGCAGCAGGTACAAACCCTCAGCTGAGGGACGAAGCAATGGGAAATCAGTCCCAAGAATCCCTCAGTGCCCCCAGTACTGCTGGAAGGAGAACATCCTCCAGCCCTCAGAACGCCCAGGCTGTGATACAGCAAATGCAGTCTCTGACTTTGAGCAGAAACATTGTCATTACATTTAATTTCTCTTGGTAGGCTGTGCCTGTTCCTAACTTTCCAGGCAGCAATTGTGGACAGCCACAGTGTGTCTGTCTCCTTCCTATAAAAGAAGCACTGGAGAGAAACAAGGCTCTTTCTCCTTTTTTTATGTAACACAAGGCTGCCATTTTTTCCAAATGAAAGCAAGTGGGAGCAAATTATTTGGATTTCCTCACAAAAGCTGCAGGAACACAACACCTTTAATAAAAACAGTTGATTCTCCTCATAATGCTTCTCTCTTCTTTTCCCCATGATCACAGGAGGCCTTGCTTTCTGCTCTCAGCTAGAGAACATCTTTATTATCCTTGCAGACAGTGAATAACAAGGCATTCATTCAAACCTAATTTTTTTTGGCAATAAGAGCCGGGGAAAGAATAGGGATAAAAAAATCAGAGATGTCAGGAACGAGTTCTGCCTGTAAATACACATTCAGAGCTCTCAGTTCCTTCTTTGATTGGAATGGGGACAGGCATCTCTGAATTTTAAACAACTGAATTATGTTTATCGTTCAACTGCATTGCTTTTCCGTGTTTTCCTGCTCTTTCCCTCCTTTCTTAGCTTATTTAGAGCTGGGTCATTTTTACCACCTTGGCCCAGCAATGGAGTAGTTTTCCTGTTCCATACTTAAAGAGATTATGCTTATTTCTCTCAAATATCTGACATATGACAACTTGGTAAAGCCACTTTAATAAAGAAGTGCTCTGGTGACTCCCAAGTATTCCCATATTTGCAAGATCTGAGTTTCGGGAAGGAGGGTTTTGATGGATGAAGTGAAACAATTTTTCCAATGTAATCCAGGTCATCAATTCTCCACAAAAAGAGGAGACATAACTCTTCAGCAGTTGGCAGCAGTTTCATAAATAAATGCAAAAAATTGTGGAAATATTGTGGCATCTGCAATGATGGAAGTTAAAGAGGAGAATAACCAGAGATGTTGCTTCCAACAACACAGGGGGAAAGGAGGCTCACGTGGTTTCAACAGGAAATTGTACATCAAAAATGAATTCAGAATGATTTTCATATGATTAAAATTACCTGATGAAACCTATGTTTGATAAATTAGGAAGTACTTAATGAATGTTGTATTCCATTGGGAATTGCTAACAATTAAGATGAAACATGAGATTCATAATAAGGATGTGGATGGAGGAAATGAGGCTGACCTCATACCAGAGTTCTCCATCAAATGCCTGATCTTGTTTGTTTTGGCAGCTTTGGATGAAGTGTTTTAAATTTTGGGGGTTAGACAGAAATGGCACCTGGACAAGTGGAGACTGACAGCAAACTCATTAAAATGGAGGGGACTTTGTCCATCACTTTCAGTGAGTTCTAAAGCATGACTTGGGTGAAGGAACACTCAGTTCAATCTCTTGTGAGAAGTCTGGCAGATACCTGGCAGGTACCTTTGGGATTTCTCCATGTGCACATACAGGTTGGATTCTGCTCCAGCTGAATTCAGTGGCATTACTTGTGAGGGTACAAGGTTAAGCATGACCTCATGTGCATCTGTGCATTAGGATGCAATAAATTCATTCAATATAACAAGCCATGTTTTAAGGTTAAAGGGAAAATAAATCTCAGTGAGGTATAGAATGGGAGAAATCATTATTGCTTGTCAATCCACAGGGGTGCTGCCTGCCACCCACTGCACTTGGGGTATGATTAGGTTTTCTCTTTCAAGTTGCCAAATGCAAGAAAAGGAAAGTTAAGGCCAATATTTTTTTGAAAAGAAACTTTAAAAAAAAATCTTAAAACATTACTTATAAGTGATCTTTCTGTAGTGTCAGATAAAGTCCAACTCATCCAGAAATTGTTGATCTACATTTGGTTAGAAAATTCTGATTTGATACTGAAATAAGTCTCTCCTAAACCAAATAAAAATTCCATTCCCCGTTCCATAAACATCTCTTCTTATGGCTTGATCCAAAGACTATAAAATCAAGGACAGGCTCAGTTTTTAGTGCCAGACATTGTCACTATGACTTGCAAGCCTGCTGTTTTTCCAGAAGAGAGAACCAAATTTCAGTACTTGTTGCTTGGTTACAGCCCCCCCAACCCTCTTGGAATCCCTGGGTTTGTAACACCTTACAAAACCAGACATATATAGTTTTCACTTCAATAATTTATGCGCCTTGTTGTTGATTCCTTTTTGTCTGGTGACCCTGATGAAAAGTTTCACTAACTCTGCTCTCCTTCTCTCCAAGGCTTTGTCCTGTTGTACTTGGCTTTTCCCTGGGAATGCTCTCCAAGTCCTGCCAGAGGGAGTCGAATAGTTGAGTGGAATCCTGAACGGGCAGGACAGAAAGAAATGTGTTGCCTGGGTAACTCAGCAAAATGTCCATTTGGTTTGTGCAAGTTGTGCCTGCTTCTCTGCCCAGGCACAGATGAGCATCTGTGCATTTAATACTGTGTTCCTTTTCCAGTGCTTCCTGTGACTGTCCATGCAGATCATACTAAAGAAATAGTCAAAGAAATTCTCTCTCTAACTGGTTGATCCAACTCCAATACCACGGATTCCTGGATATGGTCAAGCCAGGTAAGATCAACAGAGAAATTCACTTTCTGCTGCTGCTAAAATGTTATTAAACTTTTAGATCTGATTTTACTTAATGGTTTGATATCACCTAAGTAAATTAAGTATTTTATGTAAAGAACACGAAATTGTACCAACAAACTAATCTTTAGCTGCTGCATCTCTGATTCAGTAAAATGTTATCACCCAGAAGTGATTTTTAAGTGTTCTTTAATGATGATTAACGAAATGTCAGCTCAGAGAAACTCAGCTGTTTAAATGCAGACTTTAAAGCCAGACTGTTCATCTAGTCTGATCTTAACCAAGCCAGGCTCTGTGAATGCTGTGGGAATGCTGACCCTGGTCACAGGAACAGAATTTTTGCTGGCTATTGCCACAGTGCCAGCATTTCATGGTCTGAGCATTTCAGTTATTTCTGTATAAAAGGAGGCGGGATAATATTATTTCCTTTCTTCCTACTCTTTGTCTGTCTGCTCTGTTCAATTAAAGCACAAACTCTCTGGAGCAAACTCTGTTTTCCTGGCATTCTGTGGTGCCCAGAACAACAGGGCCTCTTGTGGCCTACAGCAGTCAGAATAATTGGAATTGTTCCTGTCATTAGTCAGACCTCAGGATGAGCCCTATTCTGGCCAGTTCATACATATTTCATGCACCTGCAGGACATCCAGGGAAGCATCTGATCCAATGTAGATGTGAGAGACACGTGGTTGAGACTGATGCCCATCCTGCATTTGGCCTGCTCAGCCATTTCAGAGACAAAATTACTGACCAAAACTGGATAAAGTGGGAAAAAACCTCTTTCTTGCAGAGTTGGGGCATGCTGCTGCATTTCTTGTCAGAAGCACATTTTTATGGGCAGGTTGTAAAGATCTGAAAAATGGTATTTATAATGGAAAGGCCGCCACCATGTAAAATATGTCATTTCTCTGCAATAGCACAGAGATAATTTTTCATGGGCTTTATGAGGATTGCATTTGCCACAGAAGATCTGAAGCCTATTAAGCCCTGATGAGGACCAATACCTTTCATTTTGTACAGAGAGGAAAAATGGTAAGTAGAAAGGCCCCAAATTACAGTCTTGTTTGATTTAGATATTAATTTTTTTATTCTTAGCAGGCAGAGAAAGGATACATTCAAGTGACCTGATGAATCCCTAATACTCCATTCTCTGCCCACCCTGTAATAAACTCAGCTCTTACCACATAAAATTTTAATGAAACCTGTGTGAAATGACTACTTTGTTAAATTTCACATAACCTGTCAATTCAACATTTGGAACCACAAAATACCTTTGCACAGGAGCTGAAAGTTTCTAATAACCATTATTCTCCTCTACTTTACTGGCGCGGCAAAGTTTGCCAGCAGAATTTCTGAGGGAATGTTTTGGAGCCTCCAGTCACTGTTGGGGAAAGCACACGCCTTTCTGCACAGAAAAATCTTTTATTGATCAGCCTTTGCAACAACCAAGAAGAGAAAAGGGAATTATGAGGGAAAGGGAGAATAAGGAATAATTCTTTTGTGAAGAAATTGAAAAGTAGGAAGTCAGAACCACCGAGGGTTTGACTATATGGTATTTCCAGATGAATGTCCCCGGGCAGAGCGGGTTGTGTACTTTTTTCCACATTGATTTTAACTTATTTATCCCTCTCTTTCAGTGCTGAGCCCAGGAGCTCAAGTGAGGCAGGAGCTGTGCCCGTGGTGTGGGAGATGCCAATCAATAGGGCGTGATTGAGTGCTCCATTATAACCTTACACCGAAACCTGGTTCCCGTAACAGCTGCTGGAGTTTAAAAGCCATCTGTAAACTTCAGCAGGAGCTAACCAGTGCCCAGAACAACACTGGGCTGCAATTCCATCAGTGGCACCCTGCCAGCATCTGCACTTTGTCTGGGTGAGCCAAACAAACATCACACCAAACATGTTTTCAAGGGAATAGCTTCACTGGACTGGCTCTCAGAACCTACATCTTCGATGTTTTAAGAAAAATACAACATAAAAACAGACACAAAACTGACCTGTTGGTTCCCACCAAGAGAAGAGTCTCTTGTTTTCGTTCTCAGCTGCAAACTCGAAGAAAGAAGCCTGGAAGGTTGTTTCTAAATGGCTGAGCAGGTTCAAACAAGGCAAGAACCCTCAACAGATTGAAGAGGTGCCCATGAAGAACTTTCATGAACGTTACATAAAACACGAGGCTCTTCAAGTAGTTTCTTTTCATCCAAAGTTCTTTGATAAATTAATAAGGCATTTAACAAGCCATTAATGAAGCAGGAAGTCTTTTAGGCAAAGAGAATATTAACTTCAAGTGGGCAAAACTGTGAAAGTGATTCAGGAAAGTGAAGCCGCCGGAGTGAGCAGACCAGAGACTCTTCCGGATGATCACGTATCTTGCTACAGGTATCACCAACCTATCTTTAGGCACCTTCTGGAAAGACAGTTCATTGATACCAGCTCCATCAGCCCAGGAATTTGTTTGATGTACTTAAGAGATTGGTAACAATAGCTCCTAACGTGACTGCGTTGCGAGGTGACAGCGTTTCCTTGGAGACAGTGAATCCATCCAGCCCCGGCTAGGATCCTTGCAGGTTACCCCTCTCCAGAGGCTGGAGAACTCCCTCCCTATGCAGGGGCAGAGATGGGAAGATAAGCTTTGGCTGTAGACAAATAGCCTTATGCAAGATGTGAGGATTTTGTGCACCAGCGAGACATGTCTGAAAGGTAGGAGGGTGAAAGGAGAGCCGGTCCTGTAGTCATTGCACCGCTTGACATGCTTTGACAACAAAGATAGTGTTACAGGATTGAGTGTCTTTTTAGAATGTACCAGCCTGTATTGCTAATGGAGGTTGTTGTGCAACAAAAACAGGAATTCAAATGGGGGATTTTTTTTTTCTTGGTGCCATCTTTTGCTGAAAGACAAAAGCTGTCCCATCAGAAATGCCTAATTTGTTGCAAAAGATGTGTGAAAGGCACATGGATTGAGATGTGGAATTTGTATCCACGAAGAAAATGTTAGTTAATATTCTAGGTATGTATAATTATGGTGATAGGACCTAATTATGTTAATTATGTCTTGTGGGGGGCGATTTTATGATGCATAAAGCAAGATAATTGATGTTACAGCTAACAGCAAGGGTGCATTGTAGCCATAACTTACAGGTGTGTTTGTCACTAAATTATGCTCAAAAGAGCTGCTTCAAAATGTTGCATAATGTCTCATAAAACTCCTATAAAAATAATTGAAAGGTAATAGAGCATGGAAACACTGTGTCCACATCCTTGACTGTTGTAAGTTCAGAGAGTTCTCATAATAAATGTTTGCATACAAGCAAAGCTGCTCCTGAGCAGTAAATTGGGTGCATTCAGAACTAAGGACAGCCCAAATTGTGAGTTTGACGCCTTTTAAATACCTCCAGGATTTGTGTTTGTAAGTTAACCGTGCAGTTCATTTATGTGGAGGGACTTTGGCTTGTGCCACTGACTGGGACAGCAAAAATAATGGGGTGTTTGTATCCTGTGAGCAAACAGCTACTTGTGCAAGTGGTTTGGGCAGACCCAGAACCAGCTTCTTGGAGCCTTTGCAAAATCAGCAGCTCTGACCTAGTGACAAGAACTCCTTGGTTTGGGAGGATTTATCACCCTTTTCTTGGTTTCTTAGGTTTGGTTTTATTTTGCTTTTTCTGAAAGATGATCTTAAAACACGTTTGGTTCGGTTCCTTTAGAATGGTCCACATTTTTCACTTGCACTGTAGCAGGGCTGAAAGAACTTGGAGCACTTTGCTGTAAAGTACCAACCAGACCAGACTTCACTGAGATCAACCACATGGGAGCAGGGACCTTTCCATCAGATATGCTCTGTGATTTGGTGGGATGTGAAGCTGTAGGGAGCACCATAGGAATTCTGACACTGGATGTGTGAAGAGTTAGTATGAATAGCCCTACTGCTTTTTCCCAGATCTTTTATCAAGAGCGTTTCAGATCTATGGGGAAAGTAGACATCACTCAGTGAAAGCTAAGCCTGCTCAAGGCTGCTGATTCATGAAGAGCAGCTGGGAATAAGACTGTGGGAAGCTGGACCAGACCCCAAAACTACTGAAAACACTGGGACTGAAAGCCTTTCAAATCCCAACTGCAAGAGTTCGCTTATAACCTTCTTTATCTTTCCTCCTCTTCCACTGAGCTTTCCATTTTCTGTGAGGCAAAGCTGGACCTGTGCTGTAGAGCCTCAGATGTTTGTTTATCGAGGCTGTCATTTTATCAGGAGAAAGGAGTCTTTTGTCTGACAGTCCTTTCTTAGCAGCTGAGTGTCTAAAATATACACAGGAGGGATTTTTCACTCAGTTTTCCCCTCACAATATCTTTCCCCGCTGTAGTTTCAGAAGTAGCTCAGCTACAGCTCTTCAAAGTATTTCAGGGGCTTTTAATGTATTCTACCCATAAAGTCAGCTGGGCTCAAATGTACTTGCACTGCATTAAGGAAACTTAGAGCATTCTGGAGTCTGTAAAAATGTGGTCAGTGGGAGGAGAAGCATTTCATGGTCTCACAGCTGACACTGACGTCTTGATAAAGTGGGACTTTGATCGGGGAGCTCTGTGGCAGTGCATGATTTGCCAAGATATGGCCTCATATCTCATCAGTCGTGTTTTGAAAAATGCAGTAGCAGTTCTGTCCTCGTTCCTGCCAGTTTGCAAAACATTTCAGCCCCTTAATTCCCCACTGGGACTTCCACTGAGCAGAATACACGAAATACATGGACTTAGTTGTGAGTACTTTCACTTACCTCCAGTCAGCTCCAGACTTCAAGGTGGTGCTTAGGACTTGTTTAGTACAAATTTTTGCTTGTTTGTTTAATTATTTAGATGGAATGGGTGGTTTATATATTTCAGTGCTGCTACATGGAACAGAAAGCTTCCCCTGAGCTTTTTTGAAGGGATCAAGAGTCCTTCTATTTCAAAATGTCTCGTAGGCACTTAGGGTGGAATCCTCCTCATCAAACTTCAGATGCCCTGAAGTTGTGCCTACTCTCAGGGAAGCCTGTGGGATCCTGTGGATGGTGAGTCATTCCAGCTGAAAGTAAAAAGCATCGAGGCTGGGTTGAGTAAGTGAATATCTGGACATTCCCACTCATCTCCACTGACTGGAGAGAGAGACAAAAAAATTTTCTAAGCTTGGATTTCCAGCCTGGCAACTCCAGTTAGGTGGGGGAAATCATACTTGAACCAGATGGAGGGTTTAGATGTTTGATTTTGACTGGTGTACTCTGAAATTTTGTACTTGGATTTGATATCAGTGGCAAAGGTAGCTGTGGTAGGAACCAGACTGAGAGCCACCCTCAGAAATTAGAAGTTGGTCACACACAGGATTTTTTTACCCCATAATCATTTTAAGTTTCCTTTCAAGTCTTCTTTTGTAGAATTCTTAAAATATAGTCAAGTATCTCTACTTAAAATACATCATAGATACAGCTCCCTCACCCCAAAAAGAGAGAGACTGGTGGAATGCTATTGCCACAGAGGGTTTCCATTAGTGAAATTAATTCTTCTCTCATAAGAATTTAGGTCCATGATTTATGATAACCACCAATTTCTCACTGCAGGCGAAGTGAGAGGAAATGACTCAGCCTGGACAGACATCATGAATCTAATTTTTTTTCCCTTAATGCTTGACATAATCTAGTGTGCAGCTCCCAGAGGTGTCATTGGAGATTCATATCCAGCCGAAGGGCCTCACAATCAAGGCAGGAAATTTCGTTCCTTTCATGTATTGTGTGATCTGTAATTGCTTGGAATTGCATCCTGCCTCGTTCATTGCCATTTCTTTTGCATCAATTTTGCAGCAAAATAGGGAGGAAAACAAAGCAAGGGAGAGAAAAGCAGGATGGCACTTGCTCCTCCAGAAAAATCTCCTCTGACAGAATGTTGAGGTCCAGCTGGTGCTTATTAAACTCAGGGAGTTTTGAGATGAAAAATGTTTCCTTCTGTCCCTCTTTCCCATGGAAATCTCACTCCCCACCTGATTGGAGAAGTCGTAACTATCACATATTGGTTCTGGACTTTTAGGTTTTATTTTCTATCACGATATAGAATTTTGTGAGTGGGTTTCTGCCAGGAGATAAGAATAGGTGTTGTGTGAAATGGTTCAGCTAAAATGTTTTATCCCACATTTCGAGGCACTGGGAATGCATATTCCTGTCTCAGCAGAGGAGGAGGTATCTGGCTGAGAAGAAGGTAGGTTTTGAAAAGTCTTGCAGTTATAAATAGTCACTTGAATACATCCTAAAAAGTCGCTTCTAAACTGAGAAAAATAACAGACCTTTTTCTTGAATACAAAATAATTTCTCCATATTTCTTTGGTATGACCTCATTTAACATACAAGGAAGCAGAAGCAGAGCAAATACCGAGATAGGGCTAAACAAGGATTCCCAGCACTTTTTATTTCCTGTTGGGTTGGGTTTTTTTAAAATATTGACCCAACATAAATCCCCTTTTCACAGGGCTGCTGTGCATGGGAACACCTGCTGCTCTGTGACACACACACATGAAAATGGCCTCAAGATGACTTCAAAAACCAGTAAATAGCTGTTTGATTTCCCAAATGCTGAGCTCACTCAGCTTCTCTGAAGTCTCCTATGGTTTATTGGGGCTGGTTTGATCCCATTAACAACCACCATAAAGTATGAAGGGAGGAGGAGATCCGTGCGTCAGAGCCTGGGAGCACTTTTGGGCCAAAGCCAGCAAAGATGGAATACTGGGGAAAAAAATCATAGTAAGGTCAACAGCACATGTCTCTTCAATAACCTGTAATTGCACCTTTTAACTGATGTTCTATTTAGTTTGTCTGTTACACTCAGTAGGAAACTTCCTTTGCCTTGCTCCCCAAACCATTTCAAAGCTGCATTTTTATCTCCATTCCTGACTAGAGTTGTTCTAACAATACACACTGACAGCTGATACTTTCTGGCAAGAGCTCACCCAGCCTGTACAGTGAAAGTCAAATTACAGTGCTGTGTGCACACACTTACTCAATTAAATCATTTTTTTTCAAGGATTCCATGGTAAAAGCTGCCAGTCTGCAAATTCTTCAGTCCCTCTGAAGCACAGTTGGAGGAATTGCATCATTTAGGGTATATAAAATGGGCTTTTGGAAATGTTCTGAGGCAATGGAGTAGCAAAGCACAAAAACACATCACTTCAGGTTGAAATTTGGGCTTGATGATCTTGGAGGTCTTTTCCAACCTTATTGATTCTATGGTTTGAAGACTCTATTGGACTAAGTTCAGCTTTTCTCTGGATTCTTGAGATTCCCCTAAAACGTATTCAAGAGATTAAAATAAATATACTGGTATAATATTAGTAAAATAACAAATTAAAATACATATACAAGGGATTAAAATAAATAATTGAGGTATCTTTTCATCCAACCTGGATCCATCAAAGCAGGGCTGTACAGGGTAGAAGGGGACACATCACACTGCTGAAAAAGATCAATCCTTCATTTTCTCATGAATTTTTCTATCAAACTGTCAGTAAATTCCTCATTCTGATGTTTGGACTCATCTCTGAAAGCCTCCATGTGTGTACACACTGCTCAGGTGAGAGGTGAGGGGACTGTCTATGGTTTGACCTCAGGACCACGTGGCTGTTGCCTGATGCCAAGTCCTACCCCGTGCTACTCTCGGTATTCTCTTTAATTATAAAACAATTTGCTTTTCTCTGAACAGAATCAATGCTGGTTTAACATCTCTCTCAGTTCCTCAGGTCTGACTACAAGCAATGAAAAGTTCAGTAAATCCTATCCATCCTGCTGCTCCATCCTGAGGGACACACACCCAATCCCACCGGGTTTATCACAAGGCAGAGGAATCATCAGGCCGAGCTGTGACTCTGGGCTGCCTTCCCCAGTAAGTGTTTGGCTTTACCAGTCCAAGCACAGGTTTATAGAAGAGAGACATGACAAAGAATAGCTAAGGCAGAAATCTCTTCCTCAGCTTTGGGGCTGATCCTGTCACCTCTTCTTATCTTCCGAAGCCGGGGCAGATTATAAATAAGATTCTGTGCTGTGGTGTCTGTGCTGGGGAAAGGGGTTTGACTCGGCCTCTGAGCACTCTGCACCAAACTGGAGGTGATGGGCAAGGGGATAATAAGCCCTGGAAAAGCTTCTCCAATATTTGAGCCGATTTGTAGAAGTAAACCAGAATGAGCTGTGGCAAACTACTCTGAACTGTGAATTCTCACAGCATTTACCAGCTTCTGGGCTTGGCTCTAACTGGAGGGATTTCTGCTGCAATAAGGCCAGAAATACGAGAAAATACAGTGTCAGGAACTGAAGAACTTTTACTGATTCTTTTATGTCTTTATTTTGCTTTTTTTTTTTAAGCTTCCTTCTGACTCCTTCAAGTACCTTGGCTGGTGTGACATAGAGGAACACGATGTTCGAGGAAATCAGCTCCGCTGTCCCCGAGTGAGAGAAGGTGAAGATCAAAAAGACACATTCACATTTAAGCCTTAACTTTATTTGCTCAAAACCTACATGCCTAAAATGTTATGACCAGAAATCATGGAGTTTGCCATTCTCTTGAAAAGGGGCAGGATTTTATCCCATGTTGTACAGATGTGCTTTTTTTTTAATGGCTAAAAAAGTTATCCTTTGTAATTTCAAAAAATGGGAAACAACTGCCAGAACAGTAAATTGAAAATATTTAGTATTAATATGGTGTTGATTACTTCTCTCAAAAGTTCATTAACATTTAAATGTTGCTCAGAATGCAGTAGCCATATGCCAAACAAGAAACCAAGAGGGAAATCCAGTCCTGCAAACAGTGGCACATATATTGTGTTTTAAGGCTGAATTGGCTCCATTACGATCTACAAACACACTCAAGAATGAAAGATGGATTTCAAAATCCAGTATTTGCAAGTTTGGGACTAAACAGTGGAAAATTTCCACCCTGTCCTTGCTTTAGTTAGGAGTTTGAAGATGTCCATAGCTCTAGACATTTCAGTAAACCTTAAGAATTTAAGTGTTCAGTGTGTGTCCTTCTTAATACAAATGAGGTTTTGGGTACAGTCATTGACCCCATTGTTGTCAGTGAAAGTTGCAAACACCTTCCTTTCTCAGAACAACTAAAGGCTAACTCAGAGCACGTGAAGGAACTTATAGAAACAGGATTTTAGAGCTCAGGTCCTTTCGAACATCCGTTAAAAAATAGCTTTATTTTATTCTGACCTGTAGAAGAACTGTCATTTAGCAACCACGTACCAAATCATCAGGACCTCAGATTGCTTGTTGAATTATGGGCCAGGAAATGGTAGAAATATCTTCACATTAATTTATATTTTAGAAGCCTGGAAACCTACACACCTGTAATATTATATATATTTCTTCATTACAGATCTCTTCCCAGCCACATATATAATCTTTCAGCAGGTAACTAAGTGCCAGTTCCATATCACATCCACTGTTATAAATCTTTTTCTCTGACCAGGGCCCCCAGAAGAAGAGCTGTTTTTCAGAAGAGAACAACATACTTTGAAAAAAAGAAAACAAGTAACTGACACAGAGAAATGGGAGAAGAGGCTGCAAGAGAACTGGGAAAACTGTGCTGTAAAACTTTCTCATTACCATTTTGTACTCTGGTTGTAAACAAACCAAATAATAACATGTTGGCTGCTCCCTGCAGTGAGCAGGTTTAAAGCTCAGGTTGGCACCTTGACATTGTAAACCAGAAGGGGTTTACAAGGGAAGGAGGACTGGAATATAATGTTATTTAGGTTGTGACCCAAAAGATAAAAAATTCTGTGTTGTGACAGAGTTAGATTTGAGCAACCTGATCTAGTGGAAGGTGTCTCTGCCCACAGCAGGGGTTGGAACTGCGTGACCCTTCCAACCCACACCATTCCATGGTGATTCTATCAACATTAATATCTGGCTGATAGATAACACTTTTGTTTCAGATGAGTTTAGAAGCCAAAGCAATAAGCCACAACCACTTAGTCCTGCTTTCCCCACCCAGTGCACACACTCTGGCCTCCCCACTCAAAGAGTGGGACAGTAAAATTCATGCTTAAAGGATGATTTCTTTCATTACTTCCAAAGAATTATGGAGTCCATCACTACAGCTCTGAGGTGAATTTGGCAACTGGCACCACCAATTGTTATAAGAGCAGCATCATAAAATAGATAAAACCTTTTAACCAATTCTGGCAATAAAAATATTTGATGAATAGTTATTAGAAAGCAAGAAAAAAAAAAAGAAAAAAATGAGTGATTTATCTTATTTTTCCCTTCCCAGGAGCTGAACCTTTCATTCCAGGACCTGGGTGATGTTTACCAGGTGGAAAACTTCAAGAGGATTCTCCGAAGATTAATTCGGGTGGAAAAGCTTTGGTTGGTGGACAATTCTTTGACAGACCTCAGTGCCATAAGGCTGCCAAGGTAGACAAAATGTCCTATTTCTATTTTTATGCAATATCATAGAAATCAAAATTATTACTTACTTAGGTAATAGCTGGAGCAGACTCTTGAGAACCAACAAATATGCTTTTTGAGGGGGAGTGTTGTATTGAAAATCTATCAGTATATTGTAGTTCTGAGTTCATGTCATCCCAAGCCGAAACTATTCAGTGAGGAGATCAGATGATGACCCCTTCACTCCTGGGGAATAATTAATGAGCCTTGTGAAGTTCAGGGAGATTTGTGCCAAAAAAAGAAAGCTGTTGCACACTGAAGGAATCTCCATGAAGAGATGGTGGAACAGAAGCCAAGCATGACCATGACAGCTGTATTTTACAATCCATTTGCTGCTCTATGTGTGAGTGTACGGAGAGTTGTGACACTGAGAACTGGAATAGTGATGCATCCACTGTGCAATATAAAGCAAGCTGAGAGTTTGAAGTGTAGGGATCTGATCTTGATGTCCATGGGTAGGCAAAAATGGCACAAAAGTAAAACTAGTGTATAAAATCCCCCCCTGTGTTGGCTTACAGGTATATTCTGTCACAGATGTGATAGTGATGGCATACAATTTATACTTTACAGATGCAGAGAATTAAATGTCAATAAAAACCACTTTAGATCCTTCAAACAGCTGCCAAAGATCCCTCAGATTCAGCACTTATCTCTGGCTGAAAATAACATTATGACACTAAGTGGAATATCAGATTTCAGACACACTCCGCTCGAATCCCTCATTCTCAAGAGGAATCCCTGTGAGTTCCAAGAAAAATACAGACAACTGTAAGTCTAACAGCTAACAAAAGTTGATAAACACAAAGAAATGTTTGTGAGACAGCTTAAAAGGAATAGGATCTCAAATACAACAAGCTTTCTAGAAGAATCTTTTTTATTTTCCTCTAGTTTCAACTATCCAAATTGCTCCAGGATCATGGGCTGGTGAGCCAGTATCTGATAAAAGCCCCAAAATATTCAGAAGCTGCCTAGGAGGCTTTCTAATCACATGACTGGCAGTTCTGGAACTGAACTAAGTCCATGGATCAAGTTTAGAGACAGTGAGTAGGGCAGACAAATTAGATTTCCTTTTATTAATAGAAACTACCTATTACTCAAACTCTCTTCAGTCTCATTGCATCCCTCGTGTGTTCTGCAAGGAGTCTAAAATTGCATTACATGTCAGAGATGGAATCAGGAGGATGCCTTGAAAGATGAGAGCAAAAGCAAGAGAAAATTGAGTTCCCTTCATTTGATTTTTTCTGGAGTCTCTCCCCTTCCTGGCAGCGCTGGGGAAGATGCTCTGCCTTGAACACCCCACTCAGTGTAGGTCGTGTTGCAACACAGACTTAACAGACCTCCCTCAGGCACTGGCAATGGAAATTTAAATACAAAGATAAAGAATTTAGGAGAAGATAACTTATTTTAAGCTTCGCTCTCCAGAAATGTGTGTGGTTGAGAGTTTTTCCTCACTGCACACAGTCATGTCAGCCATCTGCAGAAGGCACTGTTGATATATTAAAGATAAACCTTACAGCATGTCTAGGATGGGATACATCTCTTCCCACCTCATCCTGGAAGGGGAATAAAAGACAGGAGAAGTTTAAAAGAAAGTGTTTAGTGAAAACCTTTCTGGGTTTCCAGTTTGTTTTTCCTTTAGTCTTCCAGGCATCCCCTTGGCAGTGGGATGGTGATGCTTATGCTTTTTAAAGGTAGGAAGGCAGATATCAGCAAAACATAAATTAAAAATGATGGATTTCATATTTTAATTGCATATCAAAGGGTCCAGGAGAACAAAAGCAGAAAAGCACTTTTTAATAATTACTAATTGTGTTTCTTCTCCCACTCCTGCCAGTTTTAAGGCAATTAAATACTGGTATTATTTGGTATTAAATTCTGGTATTACTTTCACTGCCAGTGTTGGCAGACAGATATTTGAAGTGCTTCACTCAGTCCGAGGATATAAAACTTGTGCAACGGAGTGAAACCTGAGAATTTCTAATTAGCTTTTTATCAGGTAAATTCTGCAACAAATGGCAAATCAAGATTTCCAGCAACACAAATCCATTTTAGATGTGTTTGAATCCACTGTTTGTTTTTTAGCAGCATCTATTTTGTTCTCAACATTTCCCAAGGTTATTTATCTCAATTTCTATTTTTCTTTTGTCTCTCTTTTAAGTGTATTCTCCAGTTTGCCAAATCTGAAAATGCTGGATGGGATCCCAAAACTGCCAGAGGACTGTTCACCCCCAGATATCAGGTTTTTTTACAAAATGTGTACTATACTCTAGCACTGTATTTTTGGGGGATCACAACTGTGCTACAACCACCTTGCTGAAAAGAGGCAATAAATCCTCCTTATGGAAGTTACTATTTTTTTTTTTCTAACCAAAGAGATATTGAAGCAGAAATATAACAGTTTTGAATGCATTTGTGATACCACAGACTTCAAGTAAGTATGGATATGGATATGTAAATAACACATAATGTGTACACTGAGTGTCATGAGTTCAATGTATTAAAACTATTGGGTGACTTTCTTGTCTAGGAGCTCTGTGTAGACAACAACTCACAATTACTGACTCCCACCTCATTTACTTAAAACATATCCAAGTTCAGACCCCGAGTTCATTGTGGGAAATGGCACAGGGATGAACATCCAGGCTGCAAAGAAAAGGAAAAAAAACCCCACAGCTAAATAAAAGAACCCACCAATGTCCTCGTGCTCTTTAACGTGCTTTGTAGGTGAGAAAAGCAGAGCCACCCTCACCATTTTGACCCTTAGAAATAAAAAAAAGTAATGCAAAAAGTTCTTGCTTTGGAGTTTGGTGTGGCTGGAGAGCACTGGGGAGGGAAATCATGAAAAAAAAAGAAATCTTTTTACTCACTGCTGGCACTGTTTAGCAATGTCTTGTTGCTTAATAGAGGTTCCTCAGAGCAAAGCCACAAGAGGGAAAAGAGCTGTGGAAGCTGGAAAGGGACTTGTAAGGGCTCCCCAGGATATCTGAATGCAATTATGCTTCAGAGGTATCTGTCCTTGTCTTGGATTGATTTGCTGTTCAATTTTTAGCTTTTTTTTTTTTTTTTTTCCCAAGCAGCTCATGCTGGCACAGAAATAGCTGTGCCACCAGTGGTGCAGGGAAAGAATGACAGAGTCCTGGAAAATGAAGACAATTAAGAGAATTGCCTAATTCCAGAGGCAGTCAATAAATTCTCTGCTGTGCCTTGGCTGCAGGGGCAGTTTGGTTCAGCTGCACAGGGGGGAGGAAGGGCTGCTCAGCCCTGGAGGGCTCTGCAGGGCCACAGCTCAGCAGCAGAAAGGTCACAGCAGTTCTGTACAACATCTGCACTGGATCCAGGCAACAGAAATCACCAGCCTGGAAAGCTTCCAGGCTCTCCCTTAGGACTGCCCTTGCCTCTGCCACAGCCTGGCACTCAAAACAGGTGATCAAAATATTGCATGAACTGAATCACAAGGTTTTGAATGTGTGATAGTGTCTGGCTCAGAGTATTTTCCACAGCTGTGACAGGAAAAGGCAAAGGAGCACTGCAAAGAGGCATCAGCTGGATGGATGGTCACCCTCAGGAGATATCCTTGAAATTCGTGGAAGCAGAGCAGTATTTATGTGCTCACAGGGTTTGAAAACTAGACCCAGTCAGTGCAATCCACCCCAGCACTGGGAACAGACCACACTGAGACAAACCCCTTCCCAAACATAGCACAGAGCCGAGAGGAACAGCTCAGCAACACACAGCAACGAGCTTTTACAGATCCAGAGAGGAATTGTGTGCTTCACACAGACACAGAGGCAAGCAGAGCTTTGGAAGGGGCAGAGCAGGACGTGTTGTGCTGTACAGCACGGCAGAGTGGGCCAGAGGAATGGCAGGGTGAGAACAGAAAACAGGAAAGCTTTCTGAGGAGTGGGGCTGGTGCTCTACCTCCAGATATAATATAACACATTAAAAAAAACGACTGTTGGGTTTGGGAGTGGAAGGGTGAACACAAAGGATTCAGTATATTCTTTTCAACTGAGGAAGTATGTTCTGAGGAGGGAAAACCCCATGTTCTTGGGAATAAGTCAGGGAGCTAAAGCAGAGAGGAAACAAAGCCCGTGGGAGCACCTTTACTGACCCAGCCTTACTGACCTGTCCAAGCCCAACAGCAGCTGGACACTGGCTGCTGTCGGGCTGTGTGACTGGAAATGGGAAAGGAAAGCAGGCTTTTCTCAGAGTATCAGACCCTAGGGAGCATTCAAATCAGCAGTGCTGAAATCACAACAAAAAGCACTCGAGGACTAGGCTCTCTTCCCAGAATCCAGCATTAGAAAGTGAGGCTGAGATGGAAATTGCTCCAGTCCCGTGGGCAGACAGCTCAGTTACCAGCTCCTAGTAAAGTTACCACCCACTTCTAGCACATGTAATTAGGAGCTGGTTGAGTCTCTCCTGGGAACACGCTCAGAGGCTTTGCTATTTAGACCTGAGCCCTGGGTCAGTCACAAGAGAAAGGCACAGGCAGTGATTTATTCTTTCCCATCAGGAAGCTGGTTCTGCTCTCATAATTTTTTATTTCATTATTTTAATGCTCTGGCTTTGGGATCCCAGGGAAATACGAGGTAATATCTGGGGAGCCTTGCTGATTTTATTTAAAGTGCATCCAACAGCAAGAATGTCCTGGTGATGTTTGAGTCATTTTGCTGCAATGAGATTTAAAGGAGATCACAGAACCACAGAATGGTTTTGGTTCAAAAGGACCTGAAAGGTGATCCAGTTCCACCCCCTGCCATGGGCAGGGACACCTTCCCCTAGCCCAGGTTGCTCCAAACCCCATCCAACCTGGCCTTGAACACCTACAGGGATGGGGCATCTCCGGGCAACCTGTGTCAGGGCTTCCCCACCCTCACAGGGAATAATTTCTTCTCAATATCCCATCTAAACCTACTCTCTTTTAGTTTTAATCCATTCCCCCTTGTCCTGTCACTATGTGCCTTTGTCCACAGTCCCTCTCCAGCCTTCTTTCCAGTACTTTCCTGAAGGTTACTGGAAGGCCCCAAAGGAAAGCCTTTTCTTTTCCACAAACACAATTCTCTCAGCCTTTCCTCACTGGAGAAGTGCAGAACAAGGAAAGCTGAATCTTACTCTTTTTTTTTTGTTGGCCATAAAACTGGGTTGTTAATTACTGAGGGTTCTTTGCTATTGAAAAGCAGTTGGTAAACAAGTTCTTCGAAAGACTGTACACTGCTGAAGGGTAACACTCTCCTTGCCTTTATCCACTTCCCAAGAGCACTGCCTGCCTCCAGCACGGACAGTGTGCTCAGACACCCCCTTGGCTGCTGGGCTGGGGGTCGGGGGTGCCTTCCATGCCATGCTGGGGGCACGTCCTGTTCCCTCTGCTGCCACTTCCCATCTCCCAGGAGCTGGCTGCTGCTGTGTTCCCATTCAATCTCTGTCCCTTCTTGTTTCTAAGTACAAGCTGACTTTGCAGTGAGTGATTTCTGTATGCTGTGGTAAAAAGGTATATATTTGTGAAACCATCTACCTGAGGAGAGCTGTGCCCCCCGGGAATGACTGATGGAAATTCTTGTGCTGCTGCTGTATGACACCTGGGTGTTGTCTTTCAGCGTGCTGCAAGGACTGTGGAGCTCCCTTAGGACTGATCTGAATTCATCCTTCCTTCTCCAGCCTCCTTATGTTGTTTTAATTAAGTTGTAATTCATCTCTTTCTTGGAAACAAATTGTTTTCCTAATTTACTTGGAAACACATCCTTTAATTTGCTGTAGGGCTCTACGGTGGTGTGCTCTTTGCAGCAGAGCCAAGGTGCAAGTTTCAGAGAAGATGAATAGTTTCCCAGACATGCTTAGCTCTTGTCCTTTCCTAGAGGCAGGTGAAGGGCAAGTTTGCTGTCACCAGCTGGGCCATGGCTCATTCCTGACCCACGGGGCTCTGCAACTCCCTTAGTACTAATTTTAGCTGCTCACTATACAGTCTCCTATTCATTTCACTGTATAACCATGTTTTAACAAAGCCCATTGATTGGGAGAGGAGATATTCACAGAATTAGGGGCTTGTCTACTTGATAGATGACTGTGTGAGCACTGGGAACAGTCACAGCCATTAATATTGGCTCGTGTGAAATAATATGACCTGAACTACCCAACAATAAGAACTGCAGAGAGCAGGGCAGCCACCAAAAGCTGGCCAATGAACTGCAGTGTAAGTGCCAAAAGTTCAAATGAATTGGAAAAAGGAAAACGTTTTTATTCAGTGGAATGAACTGCAGCCAAAAGAAATGGAGATTTCACAGAGAAACACTGAACTTTTTGACAATAATAATCAGCTGCTCTTTCTTCCTTAAGCCATTGTGAGTCTCTTGGCTGGTGAGTTTTTCTGTAAGTCGTACCCAACTTGCCTGAAAGAGCCCACCTGAGGGAGCTGGCTTTAGGGCTTGCTTTAAAGTGCCTTTTTTCATCTTTGTGCTAATTTTTTGGGCTGTGCAAATTACTCTCAAGTATTTCCTGGAGGCCTCAAAGAATTCTGTTTCATAATATTTCCAAAAGGATAAAATCCCCTTGTTATGGTGCTTCTTAAAATCAACTAGGCGTTCATTTTAAAGGTTCCTTTTAGACTCACAATATGTTGTTTCTGTGCAGAGATTTGGCTCCCAGCCAACACTAGAGATGAGCACACTCAGAGCACCCCACATGTCTGTCACAGACTGTTGCTGTTGTGCATTGTTTAACCATTTTTTCCTAAAAAGTTGTGAAACTTAAATTCCACCCCACTAATTTCCACTCCAAATTAAGCCCTATCAGTATTTCCACTCCTTGTTTTGGGGGGGTGCTAACAAAGAGCCTACTTGTTTGCACTCATGCTGTGATGAAGCATCATTTTTCATTGCCCAGGGCAGCTGGGGCTGATCTCCTGCCTCCCAGGTGTGTCTTGTTGCTGGAATACATTGTGGTAGTCAGGACAGGCAGCTCAGTGCTGATGCTTGGATAGAGAGGTCCTGATGGACATCACCTCATGGGATAGTTTGGGCTGGAACAGACCCTTCTGGAGGTCACCTGGACCAGCCTCACCCAGGTAAGATCCTGCACCCAAAGGGCTCCTTTGCCCAGATTGCACCACAAACTGATGGGTCTCACAAATCTTTAAGGATCAGTATCAGTTATTCCAGGGATCTGTCTTCATATAACCTCTGTATTAATGAGAGTGTAGGTAATAACTGTCCAAAGTGCAGCACCAGGCTGGGATTTGAGAGCAGCATTTAGGCAGAAATGTCACAGTAATTAGAGACTCAGATTTGCTCAGATATTAGTGGATAAACAGAAAGGGGCTTTACACAACAGGTGTTTATCCAGCATTTTTCCTAGAGGGAATAGTGTCCAGTATAGCTTTTTCATCCACTCACCTGCCAGTGGGGATCAGGATATACAAGGAAAAATAGTCTCATAGTCTGTTTTTGAGAGCTTTTGTTATTAAGTTTTTATTGTATGACATTGAATATATGCTGCTTTAATATTGCACAACATCTCAG